ACGTTAATCTCGTTTAATTAGCATCGTTTAAATAAAGCAAAGAAAATCAAATGCCAGTGAGGCAGCTTAGATAGCTGGCATTAATTTAATCCTGAAATAAAACCTTTAAAAAGTCACATTATGGAATCTGAACCATCGATTCTTATTATATACGTTAGGAATGGTAGAAAATTACAGAGCATATATATATATATATATATATATATATATATATATATATATATATATATATATATATATTGCACGACCATTGTTATCCAAGGAATAGAAGTCTGTGCTCCCATATCAATAATACAGATAAGGGTTAGACGGATGCATAGAGGGTAGTACAGGTATATATGACGACAGACCCCCCTCACACAGAGCGACATTCTGAAATGGACCGTTCCTCTTTGAGAACTTGCCCCAGTACAATTACATTACAGGGAGTTATACTCCCCTCCATAAGCCCTCTAGAAATTCGCGCCCTGCACTTAATCTAAGCTAATTAATTGACCATGCGAGTGCCGATTACGTGGCCAACCGTTTGTGGTTAGAGGATGCGTTCTCTTTGCTTGGTACTCAGCACTTGGGGAGGGGGGGGGGCTTCAAGCAAGGGTAAAGGGAACCTTGTCTGGCAGTGGATGCTCTTGTTCTTATGCTAGCTCTCAGTGGCAGATGGGCTAGATTATCATCAAGTCTGAATCTGCCCCCCCTTTTTTTAAAGAAATTATTGTAAACCTCACTGACACGCAGTAGTGTGCAGAAAAAGAAGCAGAGACCACTTCCATAACTAATAGCTAAACTATGGAGTTGCCAATCTCTCAAAGTTTTAACTTAAAAGTATACCGCCGAGAAAAGNTCCCGCTGATAACCCCCCTTAATTCGCCACTGCACTCTATACTGCTACTAGCAAGCTGAGCTACTGCCTCGTGTCGTTTTCAGCAATCAGTTCGTTGAGTGCGCTGATTTCATATACACAAGCAGGTGCTTTCTCTGCTGGGGGTCGCGTGGACAAAACGTGCCCCCACTGGGCCTGTATGGGCTTACCGCTCATCATACAGATTAATTCCATGCTGACCATATCGGATGTCCAAAAGCGAAGTTGCCACTGCCTGGTCGAGAAAAATAGAACCACATACACGTAAGCCAATCGATGGTTCGCGTGATGATAATGAAAGCGAAACAGCGGAGTGACCCGTGTATCCGCGACTGCGAAGAAAGGTCAATAGATACAGGCATGTAACAATAAGTACGTTTTAAGTTGTAGATGTGTAGCTTTTTAGAACATTGTTGACAAAACATTAAGTGCACATTTTGCAGCATGGTGTGAATTGTTACATACATGTAGGCCTATGTATAGAACTTTTATATTTGACCCAATCAACCTTAACATGTATGGATCTAACGGAGGACGAACTCTTTGTTACGAGGAGCCTCAATTTTGTCACATCGGTTATTTTGGGTCGCTTTAAATTAAATGTATACCACGCAAGGGAATGCAACACCCGTGCCACAGCAATAGCTTGATAAATAACCAAATCACCACTCCTTCAAAGGGACAAATTAAAGTACATTAAAGTAGGCTAGGCCGTTTCTTGATAGGTGGAACGTATCGTGTCTTGTTGAAGAAACATTAGTTTTAAATATATATCCATCGTTCCATTCTGTCGTGGTGTATATGGGGCACGTGTGTGAATGTTACTAGTGTTTTGAATAAATGCCTTTGTGATACACGCGTACGAAAAACTTGCAATAAGACTTTTACCATGGTTGTTTAACACGTACTTGGAAGTAATTCATCTCGACATCTGCATCACATTGTCTGTTTTCAATTTACAGTGTTAACACCCACTTGACCGACCAAGATTAGCAGGCACGAAATCTATAACCAGTGCAACTTTCATTTATACTTCACATTGTTGCATAATGCGATAAGCATTACATACATCTCCCACATTTGGAGTAGCTCTCAGTCTAACACGCGCGACAGAGATTGATAGCTTGGTGATTGTGTTTATTGCGTCGTAACACTGTTCGCTGAGGACTTCACTGAATGCAATAAAAATGAGAAATAATAGCTTAACAACCGTCTACATGTAGATGCTTAAATTATGAAACAGATTTTCTATCCCAGAAATAACCCCTCACAACACGTGCAAGACGCAGTCAGGGACTAACTGAGTTTTAAACCATTTTTTAACAAAGCACTACTATCATCACATTGTTACCATTATCTTTTGCTTTGCCTGGATTCAATTTGGAGCGATTGGGGCCTTACGGTGTGATATAATATAGTATTAAGAGAGTCATATTTTCATCTAAAAAAAGAACGAGGCAAAACCTATATGTGAAGAGATTTTCAACTGCACTTTGTTGCAGTCTTTCTCAGTGCTATTGTTTGACCACTAGGTGGAGTTGTGGTCAAAAAGATGTAATACCCTGGAACCCCCCCCCCCCCAATCTGTTCCATCTAGATATGTCGCCTGGAGGATGCGCCACTGAGAAGATTGTTTAGTAAAGTTATGTGAAAAAAAGTTGGGTGTCAGGCCTAGGGTTTCAGGGTTCTGGGTTGGAGCGCAATTTGAAAAGATGTACTAACTATATGTTATTTACCTTGTATTTGTCATAGATAGAGAGATAGATATTTATAAAATGCGTTCTGAAATGTGAGTAGAAGAAAAGTTAGTTATTTTTCTTTTTCGCGATACTTATCTGCTTCAGTGATAGTGGGTGAATAAAGTCAACTCTGCGTACATTCAGTCAAAGACAAAGCAGTCAAGTCTATCAAAATCATTTCAAGCCTAGAGGCACAGCCATAGAACCCTTTCCCACAGATTTTAGATCGATCTATCCCTGTGGGGAGTCTCACTAGATTACTGTCAGCTTAGCTGGCTTAAGCGTCTGTCCCGCCTACTTAAAGCTGTAAGGGGGTAATTAACTACCGTGCTTGCTCGGCTGACAGCAATTTAGCGTTAGCCCCCAGGGAGTTAGGTCGATCTAGATGGATCGATCTAAATCTATGGGAATGCAGTCATATATTACAGAAGTAGCAAGTGAGCAACGGCAATAAATATAAATTTCTATCTGACAAGCCTCTTTTTTGGTCAATTCCACCTCAATGAATATGACCAATGGCTTACACTTTTATTAATGGCCATATTATACAAGTCATTTGAAATATCATCATCGACTCACACAATTACCCTTTTTTGTAGGCAAGTAATACAAGACGTACTGACGACAGTGGATGGCTCATTTACAATATACGTGATATTGATGGGGCTGTAGATCTAATATTATTGGTATCTTTAGACACACGGAATTAACGTATCGATTTTGGTAACTTCAGTCGACCTGGGAGTTATGAAAGCTGTTAGTGTGGTTCGACAATGTCAACATCAGCATTGTGCAAAAGTGTTATTCCCTTGAATGAATTCGTATAACTGTGGCCTTCAAAATAGAATAAATAAAAAAATAAATAAATAAATAAATAAATAAAGGCAATTTCACCTGCAGCGTGTCTTCTTTCATGCCACACAAAACAAGTTTTGCCCTTATATCGTTTACATCTTTCTATAGATAGACAGATACATAAGTAGATAGATAGATAGATTCAATTCGTGACCAGGGTTTCCTTGCCAAGTAGCAAGCATGGGAGGGAGGGAATAGGGATAGTAATAAAATATCTACAGGATCACTGGAGACTGTTAAAAATTTCTACATGCGCATGTATATTATTTTGTACTGAAATGTTAATTGGACAAAAAATAATTTTTTTTTTGCTCTGTGAGCATTCACTGATATACTAAAGACGAACATGCAACTTACAACATGCAAATAATGATCTGAATACATTGAAGCTTAATTGAAGATACAGTGCATGATATGTCATGTGCATCTATAAAGCTTATATTAGTTTCCATTCTTATTAAGGATCCACTGCATTTAGTAATTTCTGCTTAAAAAAAGGATTAATACGCACGTTAATCTCGTTTAATTGGCATCGTTTAAATAAAGCAAAGAAAATCAAATCCCGGTGAGGCAGCTAAGATAGCTGGCATTAATTTAAACCTGAAATAAAACCTTTGAAAAGTCACATTATGGAATCTGAAGCATCGATTCTTATTATATACGTTAGGAATGGTAGATAATTACAGAGCATATATATACTGCACGACCATTGTTATCCAAGAAATAGAAGTCTGGGCTCCCATATCATTAATACAGATAAGGGTATAAGGGTTAGACGGATGCATAGAAGGTAGTATATATGACGACAGACCCCCCTCACAAATAGCGACATTCTGAAATGGACCGTTCCTCTTTGAGAACTTGCCCCAGTACAATTACATTACAGGGAGTTATACTCCCCTCCATAAGCCCTCTAGAAATTCGCGCCCTGCTCTTAATCTAAGCTAATTAATTGACCGTGTCGAGTGCCGATTACGTGGCCAACCGTTTGTGGTTAGTGGTTGCGTTCTCTTTGCTTGGTACTCAGCACTTGGAGAGGTTGGGAGGGGGGGGGGGCTTCAAGCAAGAGTAAAGGGAACCTTGTCTGGCAGTGGATGCTATTGTTCTTATGCTAGCTCTCAGTGGCAGATGGGCTAGATTATCATCAAGTCTGAATCAGCCCCCCCCCCTTTTTTTAAAGAAATTATTGTAAACCTCACTGACACGCAGTAGAGTGCAGAAAAAGAACCAGAGACCACTTCCATAACTAATAGCTAAACTATGGAGTTGCCAATCTCTCAAAGTTTTAACTTAAAAGTATACCGCCGAAAAAAGGACCTAGGTAGGGCTGATGGCCCCATTGTGAATTAAGCACTGAAGTATTCTGTCAGAATCTTGTGGAAAACAATACATTATAACTCCAGATGATAGATTGCTGCTTTGGTTAAGCTCGAATACTTATAACACGCAAACTAATTAGTCTGAGGGCCAGGTAGTACTAACGCTTGATGAGGCCTGTTTTTCGGTGCGAATAGTAGTGTCTCGAAACAGTTTGCTTGTCGTTCAATCGTATGTTCAGCGGAGAATATGAGCACTTGGAATCGGTCCCAACGTGCCGTTGCAGTCAATATCATTTCGCTTTGCTGCTTTGAAATCGAGTAACGTTACGTAAGTAATCAATGGATTAATACAGGACATTATGTACAGTACAGCAGAGACGCTACTATAACCCTCCCAATGCGTCTGGGAAAATCAATCCGGACTGGTTGGTGTTAATTGGATGATCTCGCACGTTGTCATGCCAACTAACGTTGTATCACAGCTCGAGGCGGGGAAGTGGACACTTTGTTGTCCATGAGTGCTGGTCCACGTTTGTGAAGGACTTGTGAGATCATGCTCTGGCGGTATAGACTAACTCAGGCCAGCGTGCCTGGCTCACAACGGAACTGAGCTCAGAGATGGTCATTTGTTTTACTTAGGGACATCGCCATTCCCTTGACACTCTTTTGGGACTCATTTCACACTCGTTCGACGACCGAGTTTGAAGCGTCAACGTAGAAACGCCTGAAAACAAACATTTATCAAGAAGGGAACCAGTGCGCTGTATGGTTGGTATTCGTGGAACAGCGATACCAAGAGCTTCGTATTTGCATTAGAGCTTGGTCAGTTCGGTCTTTTATCTAAATAGAGAAACAAATTAACTGATGGCATTCTGCTGTAGCAAAGACACGTTTTAGTAACCAGGGTATAACTGTAAGCTTAAGAACGGCAATTGAAACTGTTACAAATCCAACTCCAACGTGGGCGGTTGAAATGGACGAATTATATCAATACCATCAGGAGACGGAATCTACTAATCTACTTGTTTAGGAAGGCAATTGTGATTTAGTGATACGCTTGAGTAGAACTTATTAATAAAAAACAAACTCATCCTCTTGCTGTGTCCGTTATCTGTGCTGAAGCTGAGCGCGTTGGCTGTTTTATGTAGTGCATTCTTTACGATTCATAGAAACCTGACAGAGAAATCAGCAATATCTGCAACGAGGCATTTTGCCTTTGTAAATGGAGTAAACACTGGGAACAATATCCCATGGACGTGTCTGTATAAAAGCGTTTTCTGGAGTCGGAAATGAAGACGCCGATGGTACAAAGGAACAAAAAATACAGATGACGTTTCTATGCAGCAAGACGTTCTGTTAATGGTGACATTTAGAATAGAGCATTTTGGGTTTAGAACAGGTATAAACCGTGATTTGACTTTTGAACGGTATTCAACTTGATAAAAAAATTGGTTACAGGTGCCTTACACACTGTATATGGTCTTGGATTTCTTGGAGCCGTGACTTAGATAGATTGAATGTACACATTCAAAAATAAAAACGTTGACCAGCTTTTGTAAAGCCAGATTAACTTAAAGCAGATGGGAGAACCTTGACCCAAACATTAAGGGAAAAATCACTGAGAACAGGTCTACACTTGCTGCTGTTTTCGTCTTTTCGTGGAACACGATTAGAAAGTTAACTGCTCTCACACCAGACGATATCCTCTGTTGTATCAAGAAGGCAGCACAGTCCGATGCCAGGTATGGTTACATATATATATATCCATCGTACCAACTCGCGTGAGAACAAGGAAGAAAGGCAAACACCACTCAACAATTGCAAGTTCTGGTAGAGCAAAGGTAATTGATCTGCCTTTACCACCAGTTCGATGTTCACAATCCAGAAATACCTCTTGCTCTCGACGTATACATGAGCAGTGTCCAAGTCGCAATAAGAAAACAAAAGTCAGTCACGAGGAAAGGCATTTATCAGGATATTTCACATTATTCTATTGAAATCCTAACCAAAGATTCCGTGCCTAAGCTGCACTGCAGAAGACAGACGTGACAAGTTGCTCAAAACAGAATAAAGAGAAAACCATATTTTAAAAAAAGGTACTTATGCCATTGTATGCGTATACTAGGAGCATTTCAAGTACTTTCTCTAAGCCATAAAGGAAACTATCACGGAGATCTATTGCACCAGATAATGAAGGTAATTATATTATCGTATGCTGCAAGAAGAGTACAAAACGGAGGTGACACATAAGACAGTGATCATTGAATAGGAGAGTATTGTGACAGTCTTTAGCAATAGAGATCTATCTCTGACACTTGTTACAAAACAAGAAGATTACAAGTAGCTAATAGAGGTCATCACTACTATCTATAACAGGCTGGGGCAGCAGAACGCCGTAGAACACCAACGGCATTTTTTTCTGTTGTGGTGAAACAGTTCAAATAAAAGGCAAACGCTGGATTAGAAACAGCGTTGGTTTTATTCTGTTTTGGTGATGCAAGAAATAGCGAAAGGACACAAACGGGATCACAGATGTCTGAAATATAAAACAGGAATATTTGTGTGGCGCACCTTGGATGCGGCAAGTAAAACCTGTGGCAGTTGTCGCCAATTCGTGATATTCGCTACAGTTCAGAATTTACGGACAGCAACAAGTAGAACTCAGATAAACGCTTTGTAAATTATGCAAGAAATAAAAATTGTAAAAAGGAGGCCAGTTAGGAGTTGACAGTTTAATAAACGCACGAAATCACGAAGAGGTGGCTTTGTAAATGGCAGGCCCACACTCCAGACCGCGGTTACTAAGGGTAAGTGTTAGCTAATGGAATTCTGTAAGCTACTGTCTCTGCTCTGTCTGGGAATGAGGATAAGGGATTTGTTCTACCTTTATTTACATTTACGATTATTGAAGGTAAAACAGAGCATTGGTTTTACTTGTACTTTCTCTCTCTTGCTCTCTATACAAAATATCTCTCTCTCTTCATCTTTGTACTTGGATGACGCTCTCTCCCTCTTTCTCTCTCTCTCTCTCTCTCTGTAAACGAATGCAGAAGGTATAAATGTGAAAAGAACAGAGCTGGTGCCTCAGCGATATACCGTTTGTGCGCTTGGGTGACTATATCAATAAACCTGCCAGTCACACGTCATGTTCAAATAAGTGAAATTGATCAGTACACCACCAGAACATCAAACATGTTCTCATTGGTTCAGTTGACGGACTGATGCCTGATACAAATATAGCACAATCGTCTTTATTGTATACTCATAAAACCAAGCCATTAACGCTGTTTACTGACGTTAACAGCAGTAGACATCATAGGGAAAAACGTCTGGCAGTGCGTTGATATAATTTGAAAAGAAAAAAATCCATTTCAAGGCAGGAGTGTGTCTATGCTTGGTTTGTCACTGGCCCTAGATTTGTTTTAGCACGTTTGTTCACTTGAATTGGCTTCATTAAATCATTGGACAAATAGCGCACTAGTTAATTGATTAAACATGCATATGAAACAAACGAAAATGTCCTATACAAGTTTCAAAGTAAAATGCCACTGCGTCACATTAATCTGAATGAGATGCTAGACTGTATTAGATGTAATAGATAGATAGACAGATAGACAGACAGACATACAGACAGATAGATAGCTATAGACACACACACAACAGGGCTAAAATAACTGTTCTATAGGTACTAGTGTACACTCTACATTTCTGAAATAGAGAACATTCTAATGTTGAAAACACATTACATGTTTTTGCATTTAATCAGTTATAAACATGGCATTTCTATGTAACAGAATATTCTGATTGTGAATACTTTTTGGAATCGTGGCGTATTGAAAATGATGTTAATGCATCATATATGTATAATGCTTGCCGCACTGTTTATAAACCATTGTATAGTTTTCAATACAGCAATTTGTAGGACAAATAATGCCTTGATGTATAAGTGATTTTATGTCGGGTCGAAAAGAGATTTCTGTTGTCTAGTCGAATCGAGTAAGAAGTTCATGCATATCCTGATTGATAATATAATTAAACAGTACAGTAACGGTAGAAAAATCATCAAAATTTGAGATCGTCTACGTAGACACATAAGGCGAAACGGGACGATTGAAGAGAGGCATTTTTCATCTTCCATGATGCCCCTCCCGAAAACCAACTCACCACGTGTATCTTAAAGGTAACTACGGGTAAAACTTGTGGCTTCTCTCCGCAATTGGTTTGAAGGTAAAGGGGCTTTAATGAAAAGTAACATTTAAGTGGATTGCCAAGATTTGATTTTATAAATCTGAAGCATCTTGTTAATCTTATTTCAGCTATTCCAACAGTCTTATGACAACCCGGCCTTCCAAAACGACGAAAATGTTGCCAAACTGGCACGTCTCGCTGCCCGACCGTCAACGACGTCTATCGATATTGTCAACACCATCCTTACGCAGGCGCAGACGACCAAATCGAAAGACAACCAACATCCCTACGGCAACGATAATGTCTACGATATTGTCCTTGGAAAGAGTTCGTCCCATCTTGAGCGGATGACGATTGACAGCGGCCGCCTGTGCGCATGGATGACCTTCTTTGCTATGGCGATTGGTGTTGTCATCGTTCTGGTCATTTTGGCAGGTAAGAAATCTGGATTATGGATTGGTATGACGGGGATTGTTGGTCATACTTCTGGTCATCTTTTTCTGGTCATCTTCTTGGCATCTCTCTCGTCCGATGCGCCTTGTTCAACCGAAAGTGCAATGGTAGGTGTACGAAGATTAATTGGGCAAAAAGGGCGAGTGAGTACTGGCCAGCATCCAAGCCAGTCCCTATAAAAACGTTTGGATCAAATTAGCCTCATCACCAGCAATATAGGCCTTCCTGTTGGTTAGATGGTATAAATATTATCATTCCGAAAGGATAAAGAGTTATGCTTTTTAGTGACGACCTAAGAAAAATTTGGAATATTCTGTGTGGTAAAAGGCCTTTAATTATTTTAACAAAATTTACGAACATAAATCACACCCGCTTTTGAGAATTGTTTGAAACAATGCCGAGGGACACCATATAGACTATATGACATTCATCTACAGACGCCGACGGGAAAATTAAGATGTTTCTTACAGACTGGGAGGAAGGAAAATGGTAACATTATAGAGTTCTCGAAATTACCTGACCCCTGCCCTCTCCCCTACCCTGACGCCAAATTAAAACAATTTCTTTAATTGAGCTTTTTCCCAATGACCTCCAAGTTAATGAACCATTACATCTTTTTGGATATATTGTAAATTCGGAATAATGTCCTCCATTCTCTCGGGCATAATGCACCTTTTGCGTCGGCGTCACCGTTAAAAGACCAAATAGTGAATTTTGGTGCCAACAAAATACAATCATCGGTTTTTAAAGTGCTTCTCAGTCCCTTCTTCTTTATTTGTAACAGCCACGTCTCTCTTGTTCGATTCTGAACGCGTTCTTATTTTTTGAAATTTATTTATTTTTTTCGCATCTCAGCAGTGTTTGCTCAAGATGCTTAGGCATGGCATTATTGCCCCTTTTTTCAATTAAGGGTACATTAGAGAACTCGAACCCAGGCCTTACGTGATTGGCTTCTTCTTATTGCTTCCGTCTGTCTGCTACAGTCCTTGCTCGCTCATTATTACAATACTTGCCATAGCCATGTGCGGACTTTATCCATCGTGTCGGGTTCTAGCACCTGCCAAATCACTTTTCACCTTCAGTTATCACCGAACTTCAGGACAACTAATGGGGTTTGATCATGGCTCTTATTTCTGGTAATCTCGGATAACTGCGAGATTAACGAGCAAGGCTCAACCACTAATGGTGGTCTATGTCCTTCCTGGACGTCTTTCTACCCAGTAATTTCCCCGGTAATTGAGAACTGTTAACTATAAATACGAGTAATAAAAATTACCAGGTGAAAAGGTCCAAGAGGCAAGCAGATTGTCTTCTTTGATAACGTATACTTTGAGCGTTATTTGTGACTTACAGAACGCTTTTATTCGAACTAGAGAATGTTAATAACTTTTTTTCCTGGAGTAGAATTTAAGTTGGGTGTTAGGGGTACTATCAATTAAAAAACTGGCATTGAGGTGGATTTGATGCTTTTTGATTAATTAGACCCTTTTATCTTGATTGGTAATCTTATAAAATACAGAAAATGGACATAAGTTACCTTAGCTCTTTGATCGAACTGTTGTATGTTTGACTACAATGTTCTCCGCTTACTGCAAAAAAATTGATATCGTATATACAGATGATAAGTTGACCTTTGTTGTTTGGTTAAATATACACGTCAAATACAACATAGAAACATTTTTGTTTTGATTTTTGTAATTCGGGACGTGTGTGCATTATTTTACAAGAATTGCTTCCGGGGATGAACGTGTCCAAAGGCATTGTTTTCAATAATTACTGTATTGTTCGTGATCGAAACGCTGAATATTTACTATATGTAGTCTTAATTAGACATTGGGGCCAGTTTGAGGTGCGAACTGTAGCCTAAAATTTAGTCTGAACAGTTCAACCAAAAACGTTGGTCTACTTCGGCTTGAGATGAACCCCAGGGCGGTCATCTTAGATGCAATAAGTACTCTGAACCATCAGCCCTGCCATTTTTGTCATAAAACAGACCTAATATTTAATGTAGTTAGATTTCAGGGCCCGATTTCACACACACACACACACACACACACACACACACACACACACACCAAAAAATAAATAAATAAATAATAATAAATGTAATAAAAAACGTACGTCCCTTTATTAGCTAAGAACTCATAAACCAATGTTACATGGCCACATGTGCACTTCATACGCTATCAGGAACAGGTTACAGTTCTCTCATGGAAATCCAAGTCAGGGACCTGACGTAGGCCTAAGTTTTTTTTTTTTTTTTTTTTTTTTTTTTTTGTGTGTGTGTGTGTGTGTGTGTGTGTGTGTGTGTGTGTGTGTGCATGCGTGAAACTGGAGCCAGATACAGATATTTCATTAGATTAGACTTCTACTTATTCATCAAGGGTCTAAATGTACTTCCGAATATCTAATCAATTCTCATCTCCTTATTTCTATTATGACTGAACTAAATAATACCGCACGCAAGAGGTAAATGGATTCATATCTTTTCGACTGTATATATATTTTAATTCAATCGTTCATGGTATCTTTATTTTGTACTCGTCTTTTATACTAATAAAAGAATATATTTTTCTATATTTCAGAACAAAATGACAAAGTCATGAAATATAACCCAACGCCTCCTTCTCTCTCGAAGAACGTCACGGGCACATAGCAATGGCCGCCTACAGCGTGGACATCTCCCGTCTAAACCGGAAGTGAACACAATATTCGGTCTCCGTCACTGCCCGTTTCACATCGACCAGGTAGGCCTATAGAGGGCGATGCAGGCGAGCCGGGGACACTTGGAGGGAATAACATTGTTTTGTTTCAATAACTTGGAAATGGTCCCCATTTCACGTGCAAACTCTTCAAGCAGCTCTTCATACTTAATCAAAGATCACTGCTTAGCGAGGAAACATCAGGTGTTTTTTTTATGATGGTGTTCAAAATGGCGCGACCAGGAATCGAAACAACTCTCGAAACAGGAGTGATGACGTAGTTGATGCGCAGAAATTTTTGCCGGAAAGAAAAGACATTGCACCGTCATTGAATACCTAGAGAAATGCCTTTGGTATAGGCCTACCTTGTGTTTGATTGGCAAGCCCTCTATCTCACCCGGAAGATACTAATTTAAATATTTAGAGAGGAACACTGGGTACAATTAGAAATGGAAGTGGNCTATCAGGAACAGGTTACAGTTCTCTCATGGAAATCCAAGTCAGGGACCTGACGTAGGCCTAAGTTTTTTTTTTTTTTTTTTTTTTTGTGTGTGTGTGTGTGTGTTCATGCATGCGTGAAACTGGAGCCAGATACAGATATTTCATTAGATTAGACTTCTACTTATTCATCAAGGGTCTTAATGTACTTCCGAATATCTAATCAATTCTCACCTCCTTATTTCTATTATGACTGAACTAAATAATACCGCACGCAAGAGGTAGGCTAAATGGATTCATATCTTTTCGACTGTATATTTTTTTTAATTCAACCGTTCATAGTATCTTTATTTTGTACTCGTCTTTTATATTAATAAAAGAATATATTTTTCTATATTTCAGAACAAAATGACAAAGTCATGAAATATAACCCAACGCCTCCTTCTCTCTCGAAGAACGTCACGGGCACATAGCAATGGCCGCCTACAGCGTGGGCATCTCCCGTCTAAACCGGAAGTGAACACAATATTCGGTCTCCGTCACTGCCCGTTTCACATCGACCAGGTAGGCCTATAGAGAGCGATGCAGGCGAGCCGGGGACACTTGGAGGGAATAACATTGTTTTGTTTCAATAACTTGGAAATGGTCCCCATTTCACGTGCACACGCTTCAAGCAGTTCTTCATACTTAATCAAAGATCACTGCTTAGCGAGGAAACATCAGGTGTTTTTTTTTTATGATGGTGTTCAAAATGGCGCGACCAAGAATAGAAACAACTTTCGAAACAAGAGTGATGACGTAGAAATTTTCGCCGGAAAGAAAAGACAGTGCACCGTCATTGAATACCTCTAGAGAAATGCCTTTGGTATAGGCCTATCTTGTGTTTGATAGGCAAGCCCTCTATCTCACCCGGAAGATACTAATTTAAATATTTAGAGAGGAACATTGGGTACAATTAGAAATGGAAGTGGCAAATAGCGTAGAACAGATATATATGTAGATTGCGTCAAAGCTTGGATATGAGGAAAGTGAAAGAGACAAGAATGATAACGATGTGGATTAAAAAAAACCATTTAAAATGCAAGTTTGATAAAGATTTGAAAAAATACACAAAAACATAAGTGCGATAACGATGTGAACATTGGACATATCAGTACAACAGTGCTAACGATGTGAATATTAGGCATGAAAAATATATAGGAGTATGATAACGACAGAATAAAAATCATGAAAAAATACAAGTTTAATAATGATTTGAATAACAATAGGCCTACACGGAAATAGTTTAAGGTGTAGAGTGACAATTCAACAAGATTGGGGTGGCAGCAATCACAATCACTCATCAGAGAGTGAAAAGTGAAAACGATAAAGTTTGTAAGTAACCCAGTTAATAGGCGCAAAACGTTTGACAATGTCTTAAAATAATTATCATTACGTTATCATTTTTTCTAAAACCATAGATTAGAAAACATTAGATATTTATACGTTATTATTTTAAATGAACACCAATGAACTGTTTGTGCTGACTTTATATACTTTTATATACACGTATAATTTAAACATAAAACTATTATTTATGTTAACTAATGGAGCTTATCATAGCAGTATCTTGACCATGCTAATGTATGTTATGTAAACGTTATGCAAATATTTCATGTAGCCATTTGTATCAGAAACATAGACATATAACGTTATAAAAAACGTGTTTATAATGCTACAAAATATACTCTTCAGCGTTTCCGAAACGCTTTTGTATTAACTGGGAATATACGCAAATTAAACGGCCCTCAATGCCCGGCAACTATGAGACGCTGTAAATCGTTGAAACGGAAAGTGAAAAGGACTCTTGTAAGGAGTATAAATAGACAATACCAGTATAATAGGTCTTTTGTTTAAAGGATTCAAACTTCCTGATTATGTGAAAGTGTTTAACGTCTGTACATTTGACGTATGATAGAACCTGAAGATAAAAATTTCCGCCTGGTAAAACATGAAATTTTCGAAAGATAAAATAAGATTGGTCATCTCCCGTATTTAGTGTTGGTAATCCGAGCCATTCATTCACGTACATTTACATGTAAACTCTCAAAGCTGAAATGTCAAAATGGTGTTTATTTTTAAGTTTGCTTTCATAACACTGATATTGTTACCCAATGTAAGCTATTTTTTATACGTATCAGATATACAGGTAACGAAGAGAACATTGTAGTCCAATATATTTCGTGACATTTTATATGTCAGATATCATTTCAGTTTGTTCTTGTGCTGGGAGGTCGGCTTTGATCTGAAAAGTTTTTCGCTCGTGTTTGTAGCGGTAAAATGTACAGGGATCGGCTTTGATGGAAACGATTTTTACTTTAAGCGTTCTAAGGACTCCATGGACAGTTCATCAGTATGAAAACTTTAACTATGGTGTGTATATGGAATGAAGAAGAGCATTTTAAGTAATGACTTCATATTATGATAACGAAATTTGAACAACGAGGAAGTTAAGAGAAGTTGTGTTAAATACTGAGAAGAACACTTGATGGAGTGAGCGGCTAACACTGTCCCCACTCCCTTGTCTGGTCGTAATCTTAAGAAGTTTTTTTCAAATAAATATATAAATTTTAGACTCATTTGTGTTGATCATTACAGCGTCTTTAGAAGAGCTGTGTGTGTGTGTGTGTGTGTGTGTGCATGTGTACGTGTTTGTGTGCGCGCGCGTGTTCGTGCGTGTGTGTGTATGTATGTATGCGCGCGCGAGTTTGTGTGTGCGTTGACAGGAAGCTGTACACTCGGAAGCCACAGAGGTAAGGTCCTCCGGTCAAATAAAAGCCCTCTGAGATATCGCTAGGGAATCACGGGGATAATCGCATTCAGGGAAGTGTTAGGGTCAAAATAAAGACCGATATAATCAAGCCTCTAACGACAACATGTGAAGGTGCATTCAATGAAAACGTAGAAAATACCAGACTAAATCGACTCTGTAACCACACTGGTGTATTTGTTCCAAAAGGGTATTTGGTCTGTTTGCAGAGCGGGGTAGCACGTCAGTTCGGACATCCTAACAAGCAAACACAGAAAGTGATATCATAACACTAAAAAAAAGACGTTGTGGTAACGTTATGGTGACGTTATAAAACGTTCTGTGTGGGCTGGGTAGACCAGTAATCGTCTTGCCCACAGAAATCAAACCCCAGCTTCATGGTGACTAGATCCTCATCGTTTCTGACGGAAACCTGTGTTCCCTGTGAAAACACAAATGATGCTGATTCAAAGTACACGTGCCCGTGACGACGGGATGTCTTGTGACATTACGTGGTCGCATCTGTGAAAGGAAACTAATTAAGAAGTGGTTAATTTCCTTGTGCTGATGACGTCTCCTATTGTAACAAATTTAACAAATCAACAATGTATGAAATTGTTCCCTGTCCATATAGCGGGGATCATGTCTGCACGGTAAAACAGGACACTTTTACTTTCAGAAGATAAGATTGGATCAGGTTGGTTATTCCCCGAATACATGTATTCTATGTATAAATACACGGAAGACAAACTTTCACTTCTGATGCGGAGGTGGATATAAAACTAGTTGAATTTTTAACGCGATTCCAGTAAGGAACCGATACCAAAGCGCTTGGATGTGCATCTCTCGCGGTTGGTGAGAAGTCAGTTTCTTACATAAGGTAATTTGTTTTGTTTTATATTCTACAAATTTCTTTAAAAAAACAGGTGGGGTCTTCGCTGGAAAGTATCAGGAGCCTGCGCGGTCTTAATACAGTATACAAAAAATCCCATTAACGCAGGTTTTATTGTTAGTTTGTTTATGTATTGTAACATATGCATCCACCTGAGTAGATTAAAATGACAAAATAAATGTAATTTTAAATGAGTGTGCTATACTATGCCTATAAAAAATCAGATTTTCACTTTTTCCGCGGAATCACTGAATTCCTAGATTTTTTATTCATCTCTGTTAGATATGATGTCGGCCCCGGACTATCAGTTAATTAAGTTAGATTTTTCAAGTGGATCTTTTTAAACCCAGGCCCATGACAAAACAATTAATCAGCATTTAATCGAACAGGGATTTCTCACCCTTTCAAAACACTGTGTATGCATTTGTTAATCAAATTAATCTATATAATCTATATAAATTTAGGTCGGTTTGACCAAATATTTCTGGATATCCGCAGGCAAAGATCACCCCCGTGCGATAGATCGACTCTGATGCTTTGAATTCGCTGTTAAAAAACATTTTAAACACAAACATTCAACATTTACCTGGTGAATAGTATGGTTGTCTGCGTTTAAGTAAAAAGTGGGGAAAATGTGGCGAGAAATTTAAATCTGTTGATGACATACTCTGCACTATAACCGTATGCACTGCGCTTAGACTGTTCAAAGATTGAATAGGGGATTAGTTAATTCATCAGTTCTGCCTTTGTGTATTTTTTCTTCGATAAATTCATACTGATTTAATTTTATGGATGACATCCGAGCGTGCATTAATTTTCGCCTGTTCTAAAATTTTTCCATGAATCACCTCACCGGTACTAATCTCTGTTTAACAGTCTGTGCCCACTCAAAGGGACCATTCCCACAGATATTTGGATCGATCTATCTCCCTCGGGAGTTTCACTAAATTGCTATCAAACTAACCAGCTTTTAAAAACGCCTGTCACGCCTAGTAAAGCTGTTAGTGGGTAATTATCTTTACCCCTAGCTGATTCGGCATTTAAGCCTCTTGAGCTGATAGCAATTTAACGTGAACCCCCAGGGAGTTGGGTTGATCCAGATGGATCGATCTAAGACTGCATTCCCAGAGATTTAGATCGATCCATCTGGATCGACCTAACTCTCTGGGGGTTCACGCTAAATTGCAGTCAGCCGAGCGCGCACCATAGTTAATTACCCCCGTACAGCTTTTAGTAGGCGGGACAGACATTTAGGCCTGTTAAGCTGACACCAATCTAGTGAGACTCCCCAGGGGGATAGATCGACCTAAATATCCATGGGAATAGGGTCTAAGTATGGGATCCCAGTCAAAGGGTTTTTTAAAATGTATGCGAACTCCCTGTATTAACCAATTTTCTGCTTTCACTTTTCTATTGCGTTCCTGATAGTGCTACAGCAGAAAGTTACACGTAATAAAGGGCCAAAATTATTTTATAAGAAAGTCATGTGGAATATAAATTTTATACTACCATGATTTTATCCTTAATAAATAGCATTTATTAAATTAATAAGTTTTCCTTGAAAATTCAATTCATATATGATATCAAAACATACTTAAATTCTAAAAGATAGGGGCAAAATACCAGCGGTAAACATCAGGCAATGGTATAAAGAAATCATTACATGTTTTTTTTTCAGGCGCAAAACATAAAAATGGCTGACCACGACTCCTCGTCTGACATAGGAAATTGTGGAATTTGCGTCCAGCCGTATGACGTAACAGACAGGATCCCTAAGCTTCTGGCCTGCCATCATACCTTGTGCCTCTTCTGTGCATACAAACTAGCCAGTGGTGGTACCATAAAGTGCCCCATTTGTCGGCGTGTCACCAAGCTTCAGCCAAGTGGGGTTCCTGGGCTTCAAACCAACTTTTACCTACAGCACATGCCCAGTAGACGGTGTGACGTCATCAAGAGACCGACTGGCAAATGCTCACTTCATGGCAAAGTGATGAACTTTTACTGTGACAGCCACACCAAGGCAGTATGCTGCCAGTGCTTGCTGCTTTCACACAACAAGGAGCATTGTGAGGTCAAAGAACTCGTAGACGTAAAGGTTGCCATGCAACAACAGCTGACCAATCAGATCGCTGAAGTTGAAACCGAGATCAGTGATTTCAAGCAGCAGCTCGAAAAGATTGGAATATCCAGAGGGATATTAGCGGCTAGCAAAGAGGTAACGAAGGCTAAGGTTGATGAGATTCACAATGGTTACATGCAGCAGCTCAGTCTTTGGAGTGAAAAAGAAAAGGCCCGTATCGATGTTCAGTATAAGGAGGTGGAGATAAAGCTTAACAAAGCAGAGAGAGAGGTGAAGGCAGATCTCGACCGTGCCACCGGCCAAAAAAAGAAATATTGCACTGCAATTGATAATTTGGATGCCGAAAAAATCGATGAATTTGTGGCGGACAGCCAAAAGAATGGGAAACCCGCAATCATCAAAAATGCCGGCCAAAATGATACTAACAACATTCATCAAATTCCTGAAAATGTACAGATTCAATACATCCCGCCGGACAACTTCAGCAGTTATGGCGACATCTTGATGACGCCATTTTCTGAACCGACAGTCAGAGATGCGGATTACCCGGATGTGATAGTAGAAGGCGCAACGGCGAACGTGACTTTTCAAATCTCGCCAGAAAACCACGTTGTTCGAGATGACTGTCAGGTCTCTGTTAGCATCAGTGGTCCAAATCTCGGCTTTGTCGTGTGCCAAGGAAAAACGTGCATTGATTCAAAAGGGAGACACGTGACTCCTTTTCACGTGACTAGCTCTCATGATGCTTGGCAGGTGGTCAACGGTTCACACAATGTCGGTTTCAAGACCACTATTAGCTGGCGTGAACGACTGCTGCACGAAGAGGATTTCACTGCCGAAGTTGTAATGTATGGCTACGAATCATGGTACGAGAATTAAATAATGTGATGAATTTCTAAGGCATCCCATAAGCAAAAATACTTAAAGGGATAACAACTTTTCGTACGAGATCTATATTTCACAATAAAAACATTTTTAAAAACTCATAGAAGTATAATATATTCTATTTTACCACAAAAACGGCAGTTAACACAATTATTCTGAAATCTGTGTTTGCCATCGGACCATGTGACCGCCAAAGATGGCTATACTCTGTTATAATCTGTAAAAAGACAGGGACTAACTTTGAATGTAGAAATGGATTCATTAACTATTGGTAAGTATGGGGAAATTGTTGTTTACTCCAGGAAAATTCATTTTATGGCCAAAATGAACAGTTGTTATCCCTTTAACTGCCAACAAGTTACGATAATTGGGTTTCCCTTCGTTTCGGAGTATTTTGTTACATGTATACATTTTTGTATGTGGATATGTGTCTTAAGCGAGAGAGTCTGGTAGGATAGCAAACGTTGTATTGGCTCACCCGTTCTTATACATGTAGGTGAATTATTGTATGGTGTACAAAGCAAAGTAAATATCCTGATCTCCCGGATCTGATACACATGTCGGTAATTAAAAACATGTTTAAGTCTTAAAATTTGATCAAGTCTACAATCAGGAGTACACGCGCAAGAAGTTTATCTAATAAGATAAAGCCGTTTTCTGAAATAAACAAAGGAATTTTACTCAAAGGGCAATAGTTTTAAATTCGTTATTATTATTTTAATTTTTTTGTAAAGCTTTCTTTTTCTCTTCCTTATCCCTTCTGTCCCTCTCCTCCTCTCTCTTTCTGAGAGAAAACGCCAATATGTTGTCGTTTAGCGATTCATAGGCCTACAGGGTATTGACCACTTCTCGTCAAGTATAAAGAGAGTGTTCCGTTTTTTCTTTTCGGACAAGTTTGTGCTGGACAGCATGGGTTTAAACAACAACAACAACAACAACAATAATAATAATAATAATAATAATAATAATAATAATAATAATAAATAAATAAATAAATAAATAAATAAAGAATACAAAAAAAAAAAAAAAAAGAACTCAATTTCTGAAAAGAAAAGCTTTGGGTGGCGTAATAAGAACGTTCTTTATTAAAAGATTTTTTTTTACAATCTTACACAACTCTCCCAGCTTTAAGAAATATCCTTCGTAACACAAATACCGCGAGAAGCATTATCAAAACCGTCAAAACAATTGCTTTCGCCACTATCGCATTTTCTGCTTGTTCTGTTCCCATGACGTGAATCCGCCAATGAGGATCCGCCTTAAACTGACGTCACAGCGCTTTGACAGCAGCGGAGGTTGTGCTTTGTACAGTGTGCAGGGAAGTTGGGTCCAGATTATGACTTAGGGCAACCGCAAGCGCACGCACGGACGCATTGATCGTATAATATCCCCTAAAGCCCAAATTAATATCTATGTAGGTTTATCCTTATGATTTTGCACGATTTCACGTAAAAAAATACTTGTGGAACACGTGGGCTTGAAACTGGTCACGTACCAAAGCGCTAATTAACGGAGACAAAAATGCACTTTCATAATAAGATAATAAGCAGGGCGCTGATAGTTCTCTCCTCACCATAGTAACTCCGCTTTTTGTCTTTGTCAAGCTCCAATTTTGCATCAAAGTTTAAAAATACTTATTATTTTATTGACCTTTGTGTAGTCACTTTGACATTTTGAATTCCAAACTGTAGTTGCAATTATCTCCTCCTTTTGTAGCGTTTGTGCGTGTGTGTGTGTGTGTGTGTGTGTATATAATAATAAGAAATACATAAATGAGTATTTAAAGTCTAAAATCCATCAGAGATGTCAAGTAGACTGCACATATGCCCTTCATAATAGGAGTAATAACCTAACAGATTACCATCTAAATTATTATGCTAAAGAAACTGTTATCTCCAAAATGAAAAGAAAAGTTCAATTTCGATGGAGTTTGTTTCGTAAATTTTAGTTTTCAGTTAATCCAGATGTATATTTAATTATATATTTGGGGAGACGCAGCTAACAACCTTATACGAATCGATATATAGCATATCATCTTGTTATTACTTAGATTGCATACTTAAAATAGTTGCGGCCTCAGAATTTTCGATTACACTTGTTGTGGGCCGATATGAAAAATATGCATATGTTCATATTAATTCAACAGGCTTTTCCTAGAACTTCACCAGCTGGCCCTTTGGGTCGCATGGTTCTAGGAACTCCCTGTTCCAAAGACGACAAATTGTCAAGTTACTGAACAAATTTACAAAGTTTTTTCCTGGACTGTTTCTAAGCATTATACTGGTGTTTGGTGTGTTAACATCTGGGGTTTATCATAGATAATACACTGCTTTCTTCACACAATGTATAAGTCCGCGCACTGATAAAATTCAGCCGGTGCTTTCTTGTTCTTCGTGACATAGGTAACCTGAAAAGTAACAATTGAGATATATTTCTCCAAATGTATTAAGCCTTGCACATTGAGGTTTTAATAATGACTCGTACTTAGATCTAAACGTACCATTTGATGAGTAATGGATACAAATTCACAAAGATAATCTGGTGCAAGTCCATAAAAAGGGGCATGAGCGAATATCAAGTTTGAATAAAATCCGTGCATTTACAGGTAGCCATAGTCACGGATCACTTTTACATTAGATTTTGATAAATATTTCGCTGGCTACTTTTGGGAACTTTTCGAGAATCTTTACATACAGCTGATGTCATCGCTGGCCCTAGTAGAGGGTGGCGAATTAAAGGTGAACTGTGGTAAGATGAGGACAGTCTTTTGTGACCTCCTATAGCTACAGCATTTTTACAATAACCCCGACCAGTTTCGTAGTTTCTTTTGTAAACTTAAGAAAATTATTTTTCTTTTATTTATAACGACAACAGTTACCTTCTCATGTATTATATTTGTGTAACTTACCTGCAAGTATCGTTTCACACCTTTGTTTACTTTTCTGAAAAAAAGACAAAGACAATATTTTTGATAATTCTAATAACTCTGAATCTCTCTCTCTCATTCTTCCCACTATGCGACGTTATTCAGTTTAAGTTGCCATGTATAAATATACGTTTTCATGTGTTGTCTGATGTGTGCGCGTGGGCGCGTGTTTGTGTGCACGTGGAGCCTTGGATTCGTTATCGCGAACGCCGAATTAACGTCTCAAACCGCAATATCATGACACAAACGTTAAACAAGTGGTAGGTAGGGAGCGTAAAAAAGCATGAACTAGCTTTCATCAGGGCCTCTAGCTGTTTGTGTACATGTTCTTTTTCTGAACCCCGAACAAATTGCAATACAGGTATGATGCCCTCTCGACAATATATATCCGGCACATAAAAAACCGTATCAAACAGGTACTGTAGGTAAGCAAATTGAAGGTTCCCGATTTGCATCGCGGTGCTCGCGTTCAATAATTTTACTTTCTCAACATTATATGGCGGTTTGAGTCGTTAAATCAGTGTTCGCGTGAAATCAGAAGCGCGAGATCACAAACAGCTGATTAGTTTCTAAGAGTGCATTCCCATAAATTTAGATCGCTCTATCTAGATCGACCTAACTCCTTGGGGATTCACGCTAAATTGCTGTCAGCCGAGCGCGCACGGTAGTTAATTACCCCCTTACAGCTTTTATTAGGCGCTACAGACATTTAAGCCGGCTAAGCTGACAGTAATCTAGTGAGACTCCCCACAGGGATAGATTGATCTAAAATTTGTGGGAATGGGGTTTAAGACTTAGTTAGGTCGATCTAAATCTAAATCTTTGGATTGATCTAAATCGCTGGGAATGCACCCTTAAAGCTTAAGGAAACAAGCACAAGCCAGTAAAACGCAAACCTTACCCCACGTAAGGAATGGTAATCTCATATGTGTAAAGGTGAAGACTGGGCTCCCCTTCGTCTGGTATTTCAAGCAACTCCGTACTGGTATTCTTCATAGGGTCCCACATCAAAACGTTGAAATAGCCCTAAGATTAACACAATATGACATAAATACTATACGGATATTTTTTTACTTAATTTTTTATATTTTATTTGATTTATTACTATTCTATATACATTGTCACATAAATGATTCATTCATATCGTAGTTATGGGCGACTGATGTCAAAAAAAAAAAAAGAAAGAAAAGGCACATGTACGCACAGAGAGAGAGAGAGAGAGAGAGAGAGGAGGAGAGAGAGGGGCGGAGGGGGGCGAGGGGAGGGGAGGGCGTCATACCGGACTAGTCTCAGTGTAGTGGTCAAGGTTCTTCTGGAAGACTAGAGGATATATCGTGTCGGACCTAAAATAATAATAATAATAAAAATAATAATAATAATAATAATAATAATAATAAATAACTTACAGATGTATCTCTTATCAGTTGCTTTATCATAATTATTTTATTAGAGTTGAAGGTTTTGATTTTCTCATCTTGGTATTCATCTAATCATGGGAGTGTATATCCCAACTACTTCACGTGATCTAATGGAAAACAAGTCCGAGTTCAATGTGCAAGGACATTATTACTTCGCCCTATTCTTAGAGACCATT